ATCACAGAGTCTGGTGTTAGTCATTTAGTCTGTGAAATGATGCAATGAGGGAAGAAATTTCTCCTTTGACTTTTGCATTAACCTTTTATTGACTGCTTGCATACCCATAATTAACACACACTTTAGCTAAAGTGGTTAATTTTAGCATGGCGACCAGTGTCCACTAATGTAGCTGCAGTCCTGGTCATCCAAATGTACATGTAGCCCTGGGGGAAATCAGGGGGCGGCGGCCCCCAAGAGTGACACCTGTGTGGGGGAGGGGCCCTCTGGACCGTCTGCTCGCCGGCCCCCAGTGGGACACCTGTCAGTTGCTTCCCATTTTGTCACTAGGTCATTCAGGGAGAACATTCCTAAGTAGCAAGACTGTGGGGTGGCTTCTAGTGTTCTTTGAACTGAGATAATGTGAGTTTGGGAGGGAGAGAGAGGAAGTGTGTATTATTTTCCTGCTCCCTTGCAAGGCTTCATGGAAGGAACAGGGCTTCCTGAGTAGATTCCAGCGTGTGCGCTCAGCCAGAGCATTACTGATAAGGTCTGTCTTTAGGACAGGACGCAGGAGGACATGACTGAAGGGGAAGCTGGAACTCCCTCACTGTTCAGCTGGGTTCAGAATGCTCTGCTTTCCTTGGCAACACTGGGAAGGCAGTGTCTCTGGAAGATCATCCAACTCTGGGCATTCAAACTGGCTTTTCTTGATGCAGAGGCCAGTGTGGGTGGCGCCAGCATGCTCTTGTTTTCTGGGTAGAAATTTGCCCCAAATAGGAACATTATACGAATCAGAAGCCAAAGCCAGTGTTTCATGCTTTTCTACCCAGGCAGCCTCTGCACACACTGCACTCCATCAGCATTTCAGTTTGGCGAGGGGACCGTCACCATCCACTTGGCAGACAGGACGGGGAGTCACTGAGGGCGGGAAACATGGCTAGCACATCAGCCAGGACCCGGGGTTGCAAGCGACAGAGAGACCTAACTCAGACAGTAACAGCTCATGAGCCTGAAAAAGTCTCAGCATACCTGGCTTCAGGTGAGGCTCGATCCAGCTATTCAGTCTCTCCCAGGACCCAGCCGTGTTGCAGAATGACTGGCAGCTCCAGGTGGCACATGCTCATAGTCCACAGACCAGGAGAAGAGCAAGTCTTCCCCCTGGGCTCCACACCAGTCCGCTGATGTTCACTCTTCACTCTTGCCCCAGATGAGGTCGTGTGCCTTCCCCTACACTGCTCCCTGTGGCTGGGAGAGAGGGGTCCATCCCACTCAAACCACTAAGCATGGGGAAGGCTGGATTCCCAGAAAAACAAGAATCCTCTTTGTGGGAAAGGTGGGAATAGACATGAGACGACAAATAGCTACCAGTCGGTATTTCCAAAACATTTCATAAGAGAACTCGGGGCCCCTTTGGTTTGCCAGGGCCTACTGAGTCCATGTGCTAAGAAACAATCCAACTGTATTTCTGTTCGATGCCAAATCAATCTAAACAGCTGCCACTCGGGAAGTCCGTTGGCAGCGCCTCTTATTAATCCTGGGTCTTCAGGAACCACTGCTAATCTTCCCGAACCCGAGCATTTGACTCGCCCCTGGAAAGCTGTCGCAGCTTGAAAACATCCGCCCCCACGTCCTGGAACGTCACGTGTGACGGAGTCCAACCAACCAGAGGCCCGGTGTGATTCAGGCCGGAAGTGCTGCTGCTCCAGCCCCAAAGCTCCCCTGAAGTGAACCAATCCAGAGGGAGGGGCCGTCACAGCAGCACCAGGCAGGGGTCTGGTTGGCATCTCTCTTCATCGTTGGTCCTTGCAGTAGAACCGATAGTGGCAATGACGGTATTCCACGGTTGTGGAGTCCTTACCATGCGCCAGGGCAGGCTCTAAGCCCTCCCCACGTGTTAACTTATTTGACCTTCACAACAACTCCGTCTGTGAGGCTCTGTTATCATCGTCAGTATCACCATCATCGGTCCCACTTGACAGACAAGAATCAGAGGCTCAGCGGGTCAGAAACTCGCCCCGGTGCCACGCGCCCAGGAAGCAGTGCCCCAGGCGTCCGGAGCGCATCCTCCTGGCACTGTGCGTCCATCCCCTGGCTCCTGGCTCGGGACACCCAGCCGGGAGAGAGGCAGAAGGAGTGGTTTGAGCAGGAGAAGGTCAAGCCTGAAGGGGGTGCGCCTTCACGTGATTCTCGGTCCTTTCGATCCCACGGTCTGGCGTGATGTCGAATGAGATAGTATCGTTTGAGTTGGGGGACTGTCCTTTTTTGTAGGTGCGTACATCACTTCGAACAGCAAGCCCTGTGCCAGGCCCCCTGGCTGCCATTTTTAAGTTGGCAGGGAGCACAGGGCATTGAAGGAAGAGCTTCAGAGTGACCTTGAAGATCAACATTAAGGCCCCAAAGGTCCGGCCGGTGTGGCTCAGTGGTTGAGCATCAACCCAGGCACCAAGAGGTCCCTGATGCGATTCCCGGTCAGGGCACATGCCCGGGTTGTGGGCCTGATCCCCAGAGGGGGCGTGCAGGAGGCGGCCAATCGATGTCCTCTTTCATCGATGTTTCTATCTATCACTTCCTCTCTAAAATCAATAAAGGGGAAAAAAAAGAAGGCAGGGGTTCTATCTCTAGCCCAGAGGGAGGCCATGAATCTGCTCCGCCCCCAGCCTCTCAGGGCCTGGTGCGCCCTGGGCAGCGCCCGCACCAGCTGGTCCTTCCCGAGAAGAGTGAGGACAGAAGACCATGGAGCACCTTCCCCTGAGGGAAAGCTGGTGGCTGGGGAAGCTTGCGCCCACGGCCTCAGCAAACCCCGCAGCAGGTGGTGATACCTTTGACCCGCTTGACAGTGAGAAAGCAGCCCTACTGACTTTCCGCAAACCTTCTGATATTCTAGGTGGGTCAACACTTATCACAGCCCTTTAATCTGCCAGCCAGGATAACGCGTGCACAGATCATTTCCACGTGCAAGATGGAGACGCTGGCTCCGGACTGACTCCCCGCACGCACAGGGCATCCCTCTCGGACTCCCAGGCGGAGAAGAAAGCACAGTTTAAACCGCTTGGCAGAGTCCCTTTGTAATTAGTCTCTGCTTCCCTGAATATTAATTTCCCCCATCGCTTTCATGTGATTCAGAGACTCTCTGGGACCTCGGAGAGGCACCCCGAGAGCCGTGGTGGGGAGCGGCACCGTCTCCAACACCTATCACTAAGGAGTCTGCCGAGCGCACCCTCTGTTCTCCCGTGCCGTGCGGGGCTTATCGGTGCAAACACTTCAATATTTATGCTAAGAGGATTGTCAAAAGCAGCTTCTGTTGCTTTCATTCTTGTTTTAAATAAATAATGAGAACATTTAAACACATTACTCTTCTTGGGGCCCTGAGGTCAGCTAATCTTATTATTTATGAAGTGATGTGCTACATAATAGTACTTAGCACATGTTAACAGACGCTATTATCAGGGCCCGATGCAGAGAGCCGAAGATATATTGGAATGTTACGTGTGATGTACGACGGATTGAGTGCCGAGGATGCTGGCGTAGCAATTAAGCACATGAGAAAATAGGTGTTAAGTTGAAGTATGTTTTCCTGTGGGGATCCCCTCACCATTAATAATTCCCCAGAGGAGAAGATGTCTTCGAGTTAGGAACCTGATCCACCGTCGCGCTCGGAACCAGGGCCAGGGCATTCCATGCTTTGATCTCTGCGTAGCAAGTCCTGCTCAGAAGGCAAATAGTGGGCGTGACCACGTCTTAATTGATTTCAAGAACAATTCTGAGAACGTGGGGTGGGGGTGGGGAAGAACCCAGGGGACCCTTCTACATGTTCGTAGTCTACAGACGGTCCCCAACTTACCTGGTTTGACCTCTGTTTTTTGTTTTTTTTTTTTACTTTACAATAGTGCGAAAATGATGTGTATGAAACCCAATCCATGAGCTATTCAAGCCTTCATTAGAAAATAGGCGTAGTGTTAGGTGGTCTTGTCCAACTGGAGGCTCGTGTGCGTGTTCTGAGCTAGGGTAGGCCAGGCCTCATGAGCTAGGGTGTTCGATAGGTGAGGCGGACTAAGTGCATTTTTGACTTACAATATTTTCCAGGTGTGATGGGTTTAACGGGATGTCAGCCCATCGTCAGTCGAGGACATCTGTACCCCTTTTCAGTGCACACAGTCACCCCACAGGCTCTGAGAGAGTACAGAAATTGCTTATTCTTGACTGCAATTTGCGTCTCCTTCTCTCCCATCTTCTGTTTTCTTTCAGGAAAATGAAGCGAAAGGCACCAGATAGTTTCAAGTAAGCTGGTCCGGCACCTGCCGGGGTGCAGCGAGGCCGACCCACCTTCTCCTCTGAGGCTCCGCGCGCGTCGCATATGATAATTAATTTCTCTACTATTGATGAATAATCCATTTAATAAAAACCGCGATTTAAGTGTTTTCCTTAGGGAGTAACACTTGCTAGCCTCTTAATTTAATTTTGTGGAAGTTCCCCCCACCTATTCATCAGCGGAAATGATTATTAACCTCTATTTGCATATACCCTCATAAACCCGCTCTCCTCGGCGGGCCTCCTTCCGCGGCCGCACGCGGGACGCGGGAGTGTGCGGGACCTCCAAGTCAATCCCGGTCTGTAATATTGTTTAATCTATCCTTGGGCGTTTTAATGCAGTCAATTCAATTTAATCTCTCCCAGTAATCTAGTAATACATTGAAATCCCACAAACATTTAAATCTGATAATGGCTTAATCACACACTTGAAATAACAGTTGAGATAATGAAAAAATAATTCACCATTTTGAAAGGCAGAGTAACTGAATTTCCCTGACGACTGGCTTCTCCGGAGCCACTAGAGAAATTCACAAATCTGGGAATTGAAAAAAAAACGAGTTCCAGCACCGTAGAGAACAGTTCTCCCTCCTCATAAGCGTCTGCTTTCTGCCCTGCGCTCATCCTCCCGTGTCGCTTCCAGTGGTCCTGGGCCCGGGTCTCCTCGGAGCTGCCTCCCGTGGCTGAACGGCCTGTTCTTCCTCTTCCAGATGCCAGTCCCGACTCGCTCGGACGTTGCCGGAGGACCAGAAGCCCGAGTGCCGGCCGTACTGGGAGAAGGACGACCCTGCGATGCCTCTGCCGTTCGACCTCACAGACGTCGTTTCGGAGCTCAGAGCCCTGCTGCTGGAGGTCAAGCCCTAGCGGGAGCTCGGCCGCAGGTGGAGGGGGAGCAGGCGTCCGGCTCCTCTCCTCCGTCCCTGTCGTGGGCTCGTGCCGGGGCGGTGTGGGTGGCCTAAGCCTGTAGATTGTAGAACCCGGGTCCCAGTCAGAAACAGCGAGGGAAGGGGCCCGGGAACATGACGGTGTTTAGAGATGGCGCAGTGTGATACCTTCTTTGATATTAAACAGAACCTTACCCTGATTTTTCCCCATGTGGGTTTTTAATGCGAGCCCCTCAGCTCTCAAGGCCAAGGGAGGAGACAAGGGTGAACCCAGCCTGTGACAAAACCTGGACTGCTCCCTTCTTACACCTTTACAAACACTAGAGGCAGATGACGCCGGAGCCCCCTGGGGACAACAGAACGCAGAGGTGCCCACCCAGTTCCTGGCCGCCCTGTTCAGGCCGCTGTGGCTCCGTACATTGAAACTTGACATCAGTGGTAGTTGAAACCTCAGCCCCAGGGGCAGGAGCCACGTCCCAGGTGCAGAGCAGCCACGGGAGGTTTCTGATGCTCTGGACGTGCAGACGCAGACCTTCACCTCTGGCACGGTCCTGGCGGACGCCGCAGGCAGAGCCTGAGCCAGGGCCGCTCGCTGCAGGGTAGCCTCTGCCCCTGTCCAGGAAAGACCTCCGCGAAAGCCCAGCGGCGGGCTTGAGCTCCACGCAGGGCGGGGCAGTGCTCACCGTTACAGTGAGGTTGACTTCCTCCCCTTGGGAAGTGGTCCTGGCCTAATGAATTTGCTCCGTGGATTTAGCCAGCACAGCATTTCCCCTATAATCCCTGATTTGCACGTAACGACGGGCGGGATTCAGGTTTGAGGAGCCCTGGACCCTACCCAATGACTTTGGCACAGTAGAGAGATGGCATGGAGCCGAGGTCGAGACCTGGGCCTTGATCACACCTCCCACTAGCTGTGTGACCTTTGGCACGCCACCGTGCTCAGTTCCTCCTCTGTGTATCGGAGGTGCTGAAGGTGCCGACTCACAAGGTGAGGTTCAGTGACGTCATTCAGCTCCGGCGGGAGCGCTAAATAATTTCGTTGAACAATTTCTGATGTGTAGTTAAGTATCCAAGAGATATTGGAGTTGTTTACCTATCAGTAAGCTGACCCTCTGGAGACACCTCCTTCCTCCTCAGTCCTTGTGACGGTTTTGTCCTATTGCCCGGACGCGTCTCCTGCCCTTTGGTGACCCCTCTCCCAGCTGTGGCCTCCTCCCGGACTGTTCGCAGTACTTGGAAGGTGAAGAGCGTTTACGCCACGAGAGGCGCTGAGGGCCAGCCCGGCCGCTGCCAGCAGGCCCGCCCTGGTTCCAGGTGTCGTTCATCCGCAGGGAGCTCAGCCGGACACGCCAGGCAAAGCAGCCAGGGATTCCCGATCTGGGGGCGGGTGTCTCCGACCCTGGGTGAACCCCTGCCTCCTGGAGCCCCGATGTCCTCCTTCAAGGAGACGAAGCCCCGCCTCGCAGGGCTTGTGGCTGCGTCATCTGGGCGGGGCACAGAGAAGTCGCAGCCGGGCACCCGGGGCCATCTCGCCTGGTGTTTTATTTAGGCCTCACTGTGTTGGTTCTTTGTTATATTTCAAAAGGGTCGATATTTGAAGAACTGGGAGATTTCTTATAAAATAAAAATGTGTGCTGTCTCTGTCGGACTCAGGAGATCTTGCAGCCCGGGGTGGCAGGGAGCTGGGTGTCTTCTTGCTTGTAGGTGGCGCACGAGCCCTCCATGGCCCCTGGGCTCCTGGTGTCATTTGTCATAAAGCTGACTCGCTCCCCAAACCTGCTTGCTTGCACCCCTGTAGTAGCAATAAATGATGTTCAGTGCTCACCCCCATATCTGTGTATTCCTATCACACCATCTTTGCGGACTGTTTGTACTAGTACATCATGTACATCAGAAAACGTGCATCAACAATAAATATGTTAGTGGGATGAGAGGAGAGACCAGGAGGGGTTCTGCGATGTCCTCCTCGAAGGGGGCCTGCTTCCTCGGCCTGGGGTGGGGGGAGGGAGATGGGGGGGTGCTCGGAGCCCTGGAGGTGGGGCCAGGGGTGGAGAAACTACCACCCGCAGTGACGCTGAAGGTGAGGTCACACTTGCTCAGAGGACATGGCAGCGTTCAGTGCGCAAGAGCTCAGCGTGTTTGAGGGTTCCACGTGCTCCCCCTGGAGGTTCGGGTGTGCAGACGGAGGGGCAGTTTAAGGGGGGCTGCTGGGGCCACTGGCAAGCAACCTCGCTCCCTTGGGGCAAGGGAAGGCCCTTTCTCCCCCGCTCCCTTGTGAAGGACTGTCCTGGGACCCGGTGTGGGCGGGGGCGGGGAGCCTTGTTCCTGGGACCTCCTGAGTCACCAGTCCCCACCTGCTCCTGCCAGGCCTGCCCTGGACCCCGCTCCCTTGTGAAGGACTGTCCTGGGACCCCGTGTGGGCGGGGGCGGGGAGCCTTGTTCCTGAGTCACCAGTCCCCACCTGCTCCTGCCAGGCCTGCCCTGGACCCCGCTCCCTGGAGAAAGTGCTCTGAAGACAGCCCTCCCTCCCAGAGCTCAGCGGCCTGGTGAGCCCTGGGCACCCAGGGACAGGTCCCTGCCTTCCAGGGGCCCCTCTGCCAGCCCCAAGGCCAGGTCCCAGGGATATGTAGTGACCAGAATAGGAACGTACCCAGGAGGGGGAGACAGACAATAGACCGGCAAATCAGAACGAGGTTGTAGGTACCCGGGGAGGGAGCCCGCTGGGTGAGGCGCTGACGAAGGGTGGCCTGGGCTAGGAGGTCCAGGAAGGAGGTGACGGAGAGCTGCCCAGGGATGGGAACGGGGGTAGGGCCTGAGGCAGGAAAGTACTCGGGTGGGCTGCTGGGGCTGAGGCATGGGAGCCACAGGGCAAGACGCAGGTGGAGGGCTGCCCAGCGACCCCGGGATTCGCTCTGGGTGCCGGGCCCACGCAGGGGTCCCCGAAGGGAGGGATGCCATTCTCATGCGTTTAGGAGGTCACTCTGGTGACGAGCTCAATCAAGGGTCTCTGACCGCATGTGGCTCTGTCTGAAGGCACAGTTTTCTCACGGGGGCTGTCTCTCACCCTGGAGTGAGATCGAGATGGGTCGGTGTCCTACCAGCCCCCCAAGTGCAGGAGAGATGCCCCCTTGATGCAGACCCCACAACCCTGATGCCACACCCACCCCAGTTTTCCCTGCAGCCTCCTGTCCAGGGGACTTTGCTAGACAGAAAGCACAGGGTCATGGCATGGCTTCTACGAAGCTTCTAAACCCATCACCAAGTGAATCGAGGGAGCTAGAGATGGGGTTCCATAGGCCCTCAATCATGGACACCCCACGTTCAGGAGAAGGTTTTGTGTGTGTGTTGAGGGACGGTATTTTCGAATGCAACTGTTCCCCTGCTCTAGTTAGGCCGATTTTCCCACTGGGAAGCTGCGTACGTGGGACCCCGCCGTGCCGACACTGTTTGTCTGGAGAGCTGTCAGAGGCAAGGGCTGGGAGACAGGACTTTCATTCGAAAAGGCAATTCTCCAAGCAGATTGGGAAGGAGAGGAGCGTGCAATTGGAATGCACTGAAGTGGTAATGCCGTTTATCCAGTTTGCCTTTGTTACTTGGTGATTAAATGGTGTCTTTAATTACGTTTCATTGGGAGCCATGGGTATCGCGGTGGTGAAATCAATTTGACAGCCATAAAGTGGGGGAGGCCCAGGGGTGCTGTAATGATCGCAGCTGCAGGGAAGGCAGGCAGCTTCGGGGCTGCGTGGGGGAGGGGAGAGGCAGGGAGCTGGCCGGGATGCTCTCCTGCAGGACGTCCCAGCCACCTGTGGCCGCTGCTGTCTCTGGGAGGCAGGTGTCAGCGGCTGTCAGGCAGAGGGATACACCTGGCTCCCCTCACCTGAGAGACCCGCCGACTCCCAGGCTGGCTGAGAAATCCAGGAAAGCGCCCAGCGGCTCTGCTTCTCCTTCTCTCTTACTATCCGGGGAACCCCGTGTCCCCCCGTCCTTCAGCCGGCGGCCCCTTCTCACAGACAGCCCCGCTCCCTGTGGGCGGCACCGTGTCCTTGCAGCTCATTCCCAGACCCCTCCCACCCTGAAGACTGGTCCCCTCTGCACCCCGCTCTGCCATGTCTGCTATCCTTGACCAGATTCCAGACTTCTGACCCCCAAGTCCCGGTTCTGTGGGATTTCAAGGCCACCCCCTTTCATACCTTTGTTTTCTTATTTCCAAAATGGGGGTGATAGTAATGTACCTGTCACCTGAGGTTGCAGGAACATGACGTAGGTCAAGATGCGCAGAAAATGCCCCAGTCCTGGCTCTGATGATCTTACCCGTGCCCACTGCCAGCGGTGGTGCGGGGCGCTCTGTGCTCCGGCCCGCAGTGCGCAGCGAGGGGCGCTGCCACCTGGCTCCCGGCCGGCTGTCACCGCGATCTGCCTACTAAGTGATTCACGGTGCGTCTCGTAGGAACTGCCAGAATAAAGCGTCACCGCCCCGCATCGCCCCATGTGCTCCTCACGGCTTCCATTTTTCCTAGGCAGATGGCGTGGCCCTTTTTATAAATGAGATGCTATGAGAAGTGATTCTTTCGTGCCCCCATTACTATGGCGGGATTAGGTCACCCACTGCAATTTTAGATTTGCTTAAAAAAAATTCTGGCCATCACCTCCTAATGGATGATCCGTGTACAACAGTTGTTTATTGACTGCGAGTGTCTAAGTCGGGGTCAGCCTGTTTCCAGGGAGGGGCATTAATTAGCTTCCAGCAGGAGGCCGGCCGTCCTCCCGACGGCGCGTCCGAGGCTCCGCGCTCCTCGGGCCCCAGCACGGAGGCAGAGTCGCTCCTCCGCACACGTGTGTCAAGCTAAATGGATAACAGTAGATACAGATCCGTTGTCCTGTCTGCTCTTGCCTTTAGACAAAATTCATCAATTTTACAAAAGCCACTGACTAAACATGGCACCAATACAAATAAGTGCTTGGAGCATGCGGCTCTGCCCGTTGTTTTTAATCTGGTAAGTGCAGTAACTTCCTGCTGAGGACAGCACTGTGCCCCACAGAGAGGCCAGAAGGGTCAAGGGCGTTTTGCAGGAAGTTGAACAGTGCAGGGTTCTGGACCCTGGGTGCTCAGAGCCGCGCTGACCTGCTTGGTAAGGGACTGTCACCAGCAGGCCCCTCTGCTGTCTTGCGAGGGGTTGAAGATTAAATAAAGACCTTCTCAGTGGTGCCCTTCCCGGCTCCCGAGACAAGGAGAGGGTCTGCAAGCTGGAGGAAAGCCCCCAGGAAAGCCCCCGAGCTGTGCGGCCCCCGCCGCTCCCCGGTGGAGACCGCATCGGGAAGGACTTCTGTGCTTGCTAACATCTTAGGCAAATCCAGGGAAGAAGGATTTATTTTGTGAACCCGGTTTAATTTGGGTGGGTGAGGGAAGGGTTGGCGTACGTGTCTGTCCCTGGCAAGGCCAGTGTGACGGGAGCGGCACACGGCTCGCTTTTGAGGCCACTGGGAGCAGCCAGAGCTGGGGGAACGCGAACCCCTTGCACAAGAATCCTCTTAGAGGATAATGCTCGGGCCTCTCTGGAGCTCTGCAGATCCCGCGCACCCTGCAAAACACACCAGAGCCGAGGAGAGGCGTGTTCAGCATTTGGTAAAATAAACCTGGGGCCTGGGGACACTCGGAGGGAGGGAGCGTTCATTTGTTTCCTTGCAAAACTGCTGTCCCCAACTGAAGACCCCGTTCATCCTTCCAACAGGGAATTCAGTCTTTCGCTTTGGAGCAAGCACAGCTAACCGACGCCGGAGCCCCAAAGGGCTGAGTCATTTCCCCAGAGCAGCTGAAGCGACTTGCTTGTAGCTCACCCAGCACAGCAGGCTGGGCCCCTGGCCACCCTCCTGCCCTGCCTACAGGTCTTCAGACAGATTTCCAGTTGATTGGGCCTTGATTAGAGTTGGGAGAGCAGCAAGCCAGGTACATAGGATTCTCATTGTCCTCCCTCTGCGGCTCCCGACCAGGGTCAGGCTGAGTGGGCTCTCGGGGAACAATCAAGCCCTGTTTACCACGGACGTTTAGTTTTCTTTTCTCAAAATCAAAACAGAGTTTAGTAGGCAGCATATTTCATACAAGTCTCTTGATCAATAGAATGATCTGTCAGAAGCCATTAAAGCCCCCATTAGCTTGAATGCATTCAAAGCTAAGCTATTGGCTCATTTGAGGGCCGCAGTGATTGTTTTTAATATACTGTACATTGATTTCTCCCTGCGAGCAGGAACATAAGTTTGAAACTAACTGTGTATGACTAAGGCTTCATTTGCTGTCTCCAGGCCTCTGTGAGAAGCATGGTTTCACTTCGACCAGAAATGTCTGTGTATAGTTTTTAAGGAGATGCAGACCCTGGTAGATTTCCCAAGGTTTAGGCTGGATCGGGTTGTTGGTTTTTTCCCAGGCTTTCTCCCGTTTCTCTGTGCCCATCAAGAAGGCTGTGCGTGCAGAATGCAAGAGGCATCTCGGCCAAGGACCTCACGCGAGAGGCGGTGGGGAAATTTTTCTGAAAGCATGAAGCCCCAGCTGAGGCCAAACTCGAAGTGAATTTGACAGCCCTGGGCCAGCAGGACTGTGCCCAGCACGAGGCCAGAGCAGTGTGGCTGCGTCAGGACACCCTCGCCCAACAGCTGAGGAAGCTCACAGGGGCCTCGCGGCCTTTGGCTGCTGGGTGTCCAGCTCTCGGAAGTGCTGACCCTTCTGTCTTAGCCAAAGTGGATTCTTCTGACCAACACTCACAGGGTCCTTCCTAAACACCAGACTCTGTCCTAGGGACACAAGGTGCCCGTCCTCCGAGCCCTGTTCTTAAGTCAGA